TCTCTCTCCCTTCTCATCATCCTTTTTTTGTTTGGTTGTTTGTTTTTGCTTTTTTTGGGGGGGGTCACACCCAGCGATGCTCAGGGGTTCCTCCTGGCTCTGCACTCAGGAATTACTCCTGGTGGTGCTCAGGGGACTATATGGGGTGCTGGGAATCGAACCCGGGTTGGCCGTGTGCAAGGCAAACACGCTACCTGCTGTACTATTGATTGCTTCAGCCCCTACAACTTTTTTTGTTTGTTTGTTTTGCTTTTTGGGCCACCTCCTGTGGTCCTCAGGACTCTCTGCTCAGGGATCACTCAGCAGTGCTCGGGGGACCATATGCGGTGCCAGGGATTGAACCCAGATCCCTAGACTTTCAACCCAGCCCCCTATGTATTGTTCTGCTTTTGGAAAGACGTGTTGTGCATCAGAACGAGGCTTGACTAGTTGGTCGCATGAAAACCACTTCCGGCCCTGGCCCTGCCGGCTCCCCGGGGACCTTGGCTTCCTTCTGCTTCCTGCCGCCGAGGGCCCCAGGCTGGTGTCTGCTGGGAGGAGCCAGGCTCGGTTCTGTCCCCGTGGGATGGCCGGGTTGGGGGTGCCAGCAGGCGCCTGTAGTTCTGAAGAATGAACTGGGTGGAGAGGGAGCTCGGCGGATGGGGTGCTCACGGGGCACGCAGCTGACCAGGGTCTACCTCAGAGCCCCAAAGTCTCCCCCTAGCGCAGCCAGGAACCAGCCCAGAGCCAGGAGGCGACCGGGACCTCAGATCTGTCCCGAAGACCAGTGGTGGCCAGGCCAGGGACGGGAAGGACAAGAGCCGCTAATTCATTATTCATTCCACATTGCCCCCGGGAAACCGCACCCTGTGGCCTGGAGCGCCCCCTCTTCCGGGGTGCTCCCAGGGACGCAGACCAAGGGGGGGGGCTCCTGAAACGCACTGAGGGGCCAGGCCATGAGAGCTGCTGCCTTAGTCTAGGGGCTAGGGCCGCGGCAAAGGTGACCACACAGGACATTCTATGGCTGAGGGACAGCGGAGGGGCTATGTTGGGCTCCACAGACAACGGAGACAGAGCCGAGCGCAGGAGGGACAGCCCAGAGGGAGCAGGGCGGGGCTGGAGTGAGGACTTTTGCCTTGCATGTGGCCGACCGGGGTTCGATTCCCAGCATCCCATATGGTCCCCGGAGCACTTCTGGGGGTAGTACCTGAGCGCAGAGCCAGGAGTAACCCCTGTACATTGCTGGGTGTGACACCCCCCCCAAAAAAAGGAGAGGGCAGGGCCTTATCTCACGAGGGGCAGATCAGTGCTCCCCACATCCGGGCTCTGTGTAGAAGGTAGAGACCAGCGTGGGGGTCCCTGCTCTGGGCCAGGGGAGGGTGTTCACGGAGGTGAGGAGCAGATTCCGGAGACAGCCTGGAGGCAGCGGCAGTGTTTGCTGAGAGCTGGGATGTGGGCCGGTCAGCACGAGATGTGGAGGTGGGGGGGGGTCAACAGGCCGCCATGGGACAGTTAGATGCCGTTGCAGTGGGGGCCATGCCGTTACAGTGGGGGCCACACAACAGGGAGTCGGGGCTCGGGGGGGCTGCGCGAAGTTGTTCTGGGCCCAGGGAGAGCTCAGCGGGCGAGTGCCTGCCTTGCATGAAACCCTGAGTTCGACCCCTTGCACCCCTCCCACGTGCCGAATGCACACCCAGCAATGCCGTCGGGTTGTGGGAGCTCCCGGCGCCACTGCCATGTGTCCGTTCCCGTCTCACGGCGGCCGAGTTTGGGCATCCCCTCCGTCACGGCAGCCATGGCAGAGCACAGGGAAGGAAGGTGGACACAAAACCTTTCACAGGTTTAAAGCCTGGGGTTGGGGCTGGAGCAATATAGCACAGAGGGTAGGGTGTTTGCCTTGCACGCGGCCGACCCGGGTTCGATTCCCAGCATCCCATAAGGTCCCCTGAGCACCGCCAGGAGTGATTCCTCAGTGCAGAGCCAGGAGGAACCCTTGTGCATTGCCGGGTGAGACCCAAAAAAAGAAAAAGAAAAACAACTCAACTATGAATAACTTTGTAAATCATGGTGCTTTCATAAAATTCGTACCGTAGCACTGTCCTCCCGTTGTTCATCCATTTGCTCTAGCAGGCCCAGTAACGTCTCCATTGTGAGACTTGTTGTGAGTGTGTTTGGCATATCGAATACGACACGGGTAGCTTGCCAGGCTCTGCTGTGCAGGTGAGATACTCTCGGTAGCTTACCACGCTCTCTGAGAGGGGCGGAGGAATCGAACCCGGCTCGGCCGGGCTGGCTGCATGCAAGGCAAACGCCCAACTGCTGTGCTATCAAAAAAAAAAAAAAAGCCTGGGGTTGTGCTGTGGGCAGATTCAGGTCGACAGCTGAGGTGCCCAGCTGACGTCCAAGGGGAGCCATGGAGGACACTTAGGTGAAAGAACCCAGAGTTCTGTGGCGTGGGGAGGAGGGCAATGGACGATGGGACTTGGGGGTGGACAGAAGACACGGGGAGTCACTCGTCTGCCCGAGATTAGCAAGAGTGAGTAGCCCTACACTATAGCACTATCCTCCGTTGTACATCGATTTGCTTGAGGGGGCCCAGTAATGTCTCCACTGTGAAACTTGTTACTGTGTTTAGAGTGAGTCTAGAGAGAAAAGTCCAAGGGGCCTAGGGGTAAGGGGCTCTGGGGGCTCAGAGGGGCAGCCGAAGGTCCCAGGAGAGAGAGGAAAATCAGGCGGGGGTCATGACAGGCCTGGTTCGTTATTGGCTTTGGCTCAGAGAGGCTCAGACGCTTGATCACAGAGCCAAAATTGAACTCCATCAGCCTGGGCCCGAGGTGGGGACTGTCAATCTGGCCCATGCCCAGAGCGCACCCCTTCCTCCCAGGATGGTTTAGAGCCCAGAGGGCTCTGCGGAGGGCCACCTTCTGCCCTTCCTGGCCCGGCTCGGGGGTGAGGCCACTGGGTTCTCCCCGAGGGACCAGATGCCTCCCGCCCTGCTCCCTACCGTCTGCCGTTCCTCTTTCTCCTCAGGCTTCCAGGGTGAATCCGGTTTATTCAGCTCTATTCGAATGGTTTTGGGTTGAGAGCCTTATCCAGGATGCTTGGGCCCTGGCTTCGGTGCTCCTGTCCTGCAGTGCTCAGGTGACCAGCTGGTAGGTAGCAGGGATCACTCCTGGGCCTCCCACATGCGAAGCAAAGTGCTCCCGCATCCGGGTGCCCTCCGGGTGGGCGGGCAGGCAAAAGGCCAGACTCAGCCAGGACAGTTTCAGCCAGTCCTGGGATACCAGGGGATCAAAACACAGTACCCCCCTCCACCCCCTACAGCACACGCATGGTCCAGGGGTGCGGCCTGTGCTCAACTCAAATGCACGTCCAGGTGCGCCCCACCTGCAGGAGGGGCCTGGAAGGGGCTCCCAGGTTGCCAGCTGGTGGGGGAGTTAGTAGGCAAAGAGAGAGGGGAGAACATTCTGGAAGGCGGGACTGTCTGTGCCAAGGCCAGCTGGGGGGGGCAGGGGGGAGTGGAGGGGGGGAAGGGTGGGAAGACCGGAGGACCGGAGGGCCCTGGAGAGCTTTACCATCCCAGATGTGGGATGAGTCATGCAGCTGGACCTCTCGAACCCTGGACTGGCTGCCCCAAGGTTCCTCACTCACTTGTTCTGGGACCTTCGTGGATTCTCATCTCTCTGTGGACTTCTCATGCGTGTATGCGTGTGTGTGTGAGTGTGTACGTGTGTGTGGTATGTGTGTATGTGTTACATGTAGTGTGTGCATGCAGACCTGTGCCTCCACCCCCCTTCTCCCCAGCCCCTCCCCCCCTTCAAACAGGAAGTTGGTGTAAACACACGGCAGAGCACCATGGCCAGGAAAATCACTGGGGTCAGGCTCTGGCCAGTTCCCGGGGGCAGGCAGGGTGGAGACTCAACTTGGTCCCTAGTCCTGTGCTAGGCAGGGGCCAATTCCCTGTCTCACCTCGGGCAAGCCTCACTCACCTGCCCACCAGGGGCTCTGGGTCTGAATTGAAGCCGGTTCCGGTGGGGGCAACTGGACTAGAGATCCCCAGGCCAGGGTCCCGTGGTGCAGCCCCATTGGGGCTGCTACTCCTTTCAAGTGCTCACTGGAGGCCGAGCTTACCTGGGGGGGGCTTGAGGGGGGACAGAGAGGCCACGTGCTTGCTGGCCCCGCAGCAAGTGTCAAGTCCAGGGGAAGAGACCAGGGGACACTAGGTTCTGGGGGACAGCCAGTGTGCACAGGAGATCCGCACCCGCCGCCAGCACTTGGCAGGCCCGGAGGAAGAGAGGGGGAAGGGCGGGGAGGGGGCCGACCGGGCCCCTAGGCTGGGCTGCTAACAAGGGGTCCTTTCATCATCCCCCTCTCCACCTCTGCGGGACCCTCAGATTCTCCTAGTTTCCCGAGGCCCCTCTCAGGTGGTCCAGGAACTTCGCCCGCGGGGACAGACTTCTCATTCCTCCTGGGGGGTGGGGGTGGGGGGCCAAGGTGGGATTCAGGGAGGCTGATGCTAACCTCAGGCGCCCCGGGTTAGCAAGGCGGGCCGCGCTAGTCCATCTTCCCCGCCACCCTTTGCAGGGGTGGTGCATCCCATCCGACGCCCCCAGACCCTGATCGGAGTCGGGGTGGGGGGGGTGGTCTCCCCTCACCCTTGCGGCTCCAAGGGGGTGGGGGCGGGGTGCGAGCTGCGGGGGGTGGGGAGTGGTCACCGGGTCTGGAGGGCTGGGGGGGGGGGAACGCAGGGTCAGGCAGGGCGCACCCGCGACGCCAGCCCGAGCCGGGACACACGCACAAACAAACGAGGCCCCGCCCCCGCCCCCCGCCCCGGCCCCCCACGCCTGGCGGGGCCGCGGCGCCTTTAAGAGGCGGATCGCGCGCGGCCGCCCCCTAGCGGCGGGCGCGGGGCCGGCCGGGTCAGCGCGGGCAGCGGCGGCGGCGGCGGCGGCGGGCCGGGCCGGGCGGGCCGGGGCGGGGCGGGCCGGGGGCGGCGCCGCCGCCGAGGGCGTGTGCGTGGGGCTCGGCCGCGCTGGGCGCCGGCGGGCTCGGGCCTCCTGCGCGCCGCTGGGGCCCCGCGTCGGGCCGCGGCGGGCCCCGGGGAGCGGCGAGGCCGCGCGCGCCGGCACCATGCAGACCTTCCTCCGCGGCAAGCGCCTGGGCTACTGGCTCAGCGAGAAGAAGCTCAAGAAGCTCAACTTCCAGGCCTTCGCCGAGCTCTGCAGGTAGGGGCCCCGCGGGGGTCGCGCGGTGCGCGCGGGGACCCCCGCCCCCGCCCCCCCGAGCGCGCCGCGGCCACGTGCCGCCGGGGCGGGGGGCGGGGGGCCCGCGCGGGGCCGCCTCTCCGCTCCCCGCCCCTCCCCCGCCCCGCTCCGGCTCGCCCCCACCCCCCCAGCAGCGCCGGGTCCCCGGCTCGGGGACCAGGACCCCCCCGCCAGCCCCCAAGGACCCTCCCGCAGGCCCCGGCCAGGGCCCCGCTGGGCGCTTCGGGGACGCGCGCACGGGTCCCCCGGGGGGGTCTCTCGGAGAAGGGGGTCGGCTCGGGTGGTGGGTTTTTGTCCTGCCGCCCACCCCGCCAGGCTTTGCAGAACTCCTGCTCGGTTCTCTCCGGCGCCGCCGTCCCCTCGGGCCTGTCGCCCAGGGCCACCGCCGAGTGCTCGGTGGCCGCCGCCTCTCCGGGAGAAAGCCCCCCGGGCGTGGGGGCGGGGGTGGTCTCCTTAGGGGTCGTCTTCAGCCCCGGGGGCTCGCAAGGGAAATCGGGAGGAACTGGCCTCGCCAGCGCCTTGGAGACGGACGGCGAGGACTCGGGGAGCCCCCGCTGGGCACTGCAGAGTGGCGCCCCCCGCCCCCCAGGTGGCCGTGGCGGACGGAGCCCTGGCTAGTTGCCCCTGGCAGCTCTGCAGGGCCGGGGTCTGCCCCAGCGCTCGCCCTCCTCTCCTCCTGCACTTGGGCAACCGCCTTCTGCGGGCCTGTGGCCTCCTGCGCCTTGGTCAGGCTCCCGGAGGACCGGGCCAGCCCCGGGTGACCGTGGCCAGGTTCTCGGGCCGGACCCCGGCTTGGCTGGCTCCTTCCTGGACCGCCCGGGCCCTGGGTGGGATGGGATGGGATGGGGGCATTCAGGGCCAGGGATGCTGTTCGCCGTGGGACACACACACACACACACACACACACACACACACACATGCAGCGTGGACCCCGTGGACGGTCACCTTCTTGACTCGGGGCACCGGGAAGCGTGGGGGTCGTGGGAGAGCCACCCGGGAGATCCCCCCACCCCCACTCCGGTCCTGTCCAGCCGGCCAGGGGCTCTTGTCATTTCAGCCCAAGTCGGGCAGGAAAACACCGGGACTCCCGGGTGGCGGGGACGCCCCCTGGCGGCTGTCCGAGGCTGCTGGGTGCACCTGGCACCCCCCCCCCCCCCCCGCAGCCCTGGTGGCTGGTGCCTAGTTCAGGCCTCTGGGATCTTCGTGGCAAACCCCCACCCCACCCCCGGGTGGTATGGATGGACGTTGACCTGGTGCTGACTCTGACGCCTTGGGGACACCGCCCTGCTGACAGGCAGGAGGATGGGCCCTCCCGAGCCGTCTGCCAGGGCCGCGGTGTTGGAGTGTGAGGTTCGCCGGGCTCGTGGCCGGTCTCCCCCGCAGATCACCGCCCCGACAGACCGGGGCAGCGGGCAGGGCAGAACTTGGGCTCGTTTTGTTTAGCTGCTGGGACGGGGCCAGCCCGCCGGCCTCGAGACCCACCCTGAAGACGGCCTCGTGTCTCTCCCCGAGTTCTCTGCTCAGGGGTCCGGCTGCTACGTGGCCAGGCAGGACCCTTGGAGGGCTCAGAGGAGGTGGTCTGAGTGCCGCCTGCCTGCTGCCCAGCCTTTGAGCGGGCAGTTGGGGACGTGTGGTTCAGAAGGTCCCTCTGACCGGCGTGTTTTTTTTGGGGGGTCCATTTGTCACTTGGCACTACAGTGACAAGGGGCTGCGTGTGACACTCTCCCCCCCCACCTTCCCCTGACCCCATCCCTTCGAGTTGTGCCTGGCTTTCCTGACCTGCCCAGGAGAGCTTTCGAGGAGGAGCTTAGAGGAACGGCGGCTTCTTCCTGGGGGCTTCTTTTGTTTTGGGGGCCACACCCAGTGGTGCTCAGGGCTGACTCCTGACTCTGTGCGTGGGGGCCACTTCCGGCTGGGCTCTGGTTGACCCTGTGTGGTACTGGGGATCGAATTCGGGTCACCCACATGCGCTCCCCTCTGGGCTGTCACTCCGGCCTCCTGAGCTGACTTTTTTTTTTTTTTAAAGCCAAGAGAGACGCCAGTGAGGTTCAGTGAGAACCTGGGCCCAAAGCTCCAAGCTGGGGCTCACTTGGGTTTCTTGGCGGACTGGCTCTTGCTTGTGTATTTCCTTTGGTTTCTTGTCCTTGGGCCACACCTGGCGTCGCTCAGGGCTGATTCCTGGCTCTGCGCGCAGGGATCACTCCCAGCAGGCTTGGGGGACCTTCTGGGGTGCGGGAGATCGAACCCGGGTTGGCCACACGTGAGGCAAGTGCCCTCCCCATAGCCTATTTCTCCAGCCCCCTTATCAGTCCTTTGCTTTTTGCTTTTTGGGTCTCACTTGGCGATGCACAGGGGTTCCTCCTGGCTCATGCACTCCGGAGTTATTCCTGGCGGTGCTCGGGGGACCATATGGGATGCCGGGAATCGAACTCGGGTCGGCCGCGTCCAAGGCAAATGCCCTCCCCGCTGTGCGATTGCTCCAGCCCCCTTTCTCAGTACTTTTAATCTCTCTACCTGCTTCATCTCGAACTCTTCCGCCACCCCCATTAGAGCAAGGGGGAAACTGAGGCAGGACCCTTGCAGGACCAGTGTGGGGGGGAACTCAGGCCTGTGACTGTCTCCCCCCGCCACACACACACCTATGACGTGGCCTGCTCAAAGGGTCCTTGTCCAAGCGGGGTCTCCCCTCCCCACAGCTGCTGGGGTGCTAGTCCTGAGTCCTGGCCCCCAGGGGGGACAGGCGGTGCCCAGAATTTGGTGGGACAGGACAGTCCCCGGGCCACGGAGTGCCCTGGGACACCCCCTTCCCCCCCTTGTTGCAGGCTGGGCTTCTTCCCTGAGATGCCGGGGCTCTGAGCATCTTTCCCCAGCTTAAGTGAGCCCAGGCCCTGGGGTTGGTATTTTTCTGTTTGTCTGAATGTCTGGCTTTGGCCCCAGTGGGGGTGTGGGGGTGGGAGGCGGGCCTGACCCGGCTCCCCGGGGCCGCAGCGCCCCGGGACTGGCCATAAGTCATCCCTGCAGATAAACACTCCCTCCCCGCCTGCCCGCTTCCTACCCCAGCGCTGGGCGCGTGACCGGCCCCTCTGAGTGAGTCGGCCCACGGCTGTGGCGTGAGGGTGACCGCAGGGGGCTGGACGTGTCGGTGCAGGGCCGCGCCCCCCCCACTCCCTCTCTGGGGGGCTTCTGGCCCAACGCCAGGCCTCGGGGCGGTTTTGCAAGCAACCCTGAAGCCCATGATGGATGCTGAGTGGAGTGTGTCTGTGTGTGTGGGGGGTCATCACCAGGGACGCCCCCTCCTCTCACAGCCTCAGGCACTGCACCCGGGCCCATGCCATCCCGGCAGCCTCAGGGCCCGTGCTGAGGACACGCCTGCCCATCACTGCCCGCCACTGCCCCCTGGCCCCCGCTGGGGTGGTCCCGCGTTTTGGATACTTGATGCTGAGTTCAGAGGCCCGGAGCCCCGGTCCCATGGGCCCTGCCCCTGGTCACGGCCGTGTTTAGACTCCCACTCCTGCCGACACCCCAGGGCGCCCCTCACGGTGTGTGTGGGGGATGGCCGGTGTGGTTGTCCTGCCCTGCAGTTGGGGGGTTTCCACCCTGGAGGATGGGGTGCCAGTTCAGAGACCACTCGCCGCGGTTTCCCAAGTTCGGGGGCCTCCATGGTACTTACGGGGTCACCTGTTGTTCACTATGCCTCCCCCCCGGGACAGAGCAGGGACCAAACAACCGGGACCTTGTTTCCGCCCTCGGAGGGGGTCTGGGATCTTAGGGACCTTTGCCCCGCCCCCCTAACGTGAGCCATTTTCCTGTGCTGGCCTGGGGGGCAGGAGGCAGGGCAGGGACCCCCTCTTAGTCTCTGGCCAGCCCACCTGCCTCGGGGCAGAGCCTCCCTGACCGCTGCAGCCTCACCTGCGTGTCCAGCAGGTCTCGGGACAGGGTGTGGCCGACGCTGAGAGCGCCCGCTGGCTTTCAGACATGAGGGGCTCTGTTCTCGTTCCCACGCGTGTTTGGAATCCAGCTGGCCCGACCTGTGTCCGCGGGCACCAGGTTGGTCCAAGAAGCTGACCACAGAGCCGTGCTGGGCAGCGCCTGGCCTCAGCAAGCGCCTTTCTCTTCCTGCAGTTTTTTTTGGGGGGTTTCCCCTTTTCCAGCCTCTGGAAGCCGCCCCTCCGGATCCCAGGCGGGGCTGCTCGGGGCTGTGGGGGGCTTGTCTCAGAGCTGGCGCCCTGGGGCAGCCTGAGCCCACCTGTCTGGTCTGTAGGGCCACAGCAGTGCCGGGCGGGGGCCCACCTACACTGCCTGCCTGCCCTTAGGGCCTGGGTGCCCCCCTCCCCCCCCGGAGTGGGGGTCAGAGATGATGTCCAGGAAGGGCATGGCTGGGGCCCCGGGCGGCCTCGCTGACCTCAGACCCCCCCCCCCAGCGAGACTCCTGATCCCCAAGACCTCTGCCCCCTGCACCTCCTTGGGCCCCCCTGGCTGCCCTCTGACCCCGGGGTGGCCAGTTTCCGAAGCAGGCCGGGCAGGCTGTTTGACTTGGGGAGGGGGGCGTGTCCTGTGTTCTGCATCACTTGGGGGTCCCTATGGTGCTGGGGCTCCCGCTGGGCTCCTGAGGGAGGACCCTTCCCCAGCCCCCGGGTGCCTGCTCCGCGCAGGGTGCAGAGAGCCAGGCGAGAGCGGGAGGAGTTTGTGGGCGTCAGCCTGTCACCCTCTCTGGGCGTGGGCCGTGTGTGTGGAGAGTGAGGAGGACGTCTGTGTAACGCTGTGGCGTGTGTGTGTGCGCGCGTGTGCGTGTGCATGTGCGTGCGCACGTGTGCTGCGGCCCTCTGTCCCCGGGGCCCAGGGCAGCAGGAGGGTGCCCCTGGGGTCCCCCTGCTCAGGAGGGGGGAGTATGTGTGTCTCACCCCATCTGCCCGGCTCGAAGCCCCTCCCTGTGTGTGTGGGGCCATGTGGACCCCTACCTT